CGCGCGCGTTCGCGGGGCTCGGCCGGGGGCGGGCGAAAGCAGCCTTCAGCCCCCGCCGGGTCCGGGCCATGCGGGGGCTGGACACGGGGGTGACCGGCGGACTTCACTAAGGGGCTGGACTCGGGAGCCGGGGGTGGGGGGGCGGTCACACCGCAGCGTGCAGGTGGGCCTCTCAAAACCGGAGAGACGGGACGGTGCTGCCCCTCGGGAGGAAGAGCCCCCGGCCTGCTTGCGGGCTCGGTGGGCCGAAAAATGAACACGGGCCCCCAGTGCGGTGCTGTGGCTGGCCCGGCAAAGCGAACTGCGGCCTGCCACCACCGACGCGCCTCGAGCAAAACCAGCGAAGTCGTGCTCCCGCTGGACTCGGCCTTCGTGAGGCCGCAGCTGGGGTACCGCGTCCAGTTGTGGGCTCCCCACGTCAGGAAGGATGTGGGCAAGCGTGAGGAGAGCCGCTTGCACAATCCAAGGCCTGGAGGAAAGGCCGTAGGACGAGAGGCGGGGGGACTTGGCACTCTTCAGTGTGGAGAAGAGAAGGCTCAGGGGGGACTTGGTGGCAGCCTGCCTAAGAGGGGCACATCAGGACCTGGGCTGTTCACCAGAGCTCCCCAAGGGATAACAGGGTCTAACGGCCCGAAACTCCAGCAAGGCCAGTTTCAACTAGACATAAGAAAAAAGTCCCTCGCGGTGCGAGTGCCCAGGGTCTGGAACAGACTCCCCCGCCCCAAGGTGGTGCAAGCACCTACCCTGGACTGTTTCAGAAAACGTGGATGTCTTTCTTGCTGGGGTCACTTGATCCCAGCTGACTTCCTGCCTATAGCGTGGAGGGATGGGGGCGGAGGGGGGGGAAGGTTGGACCCAATGATTTCACAAGGTCCCGTCCAGCCAGCCCCATGTCTATGAAATCTGTGAAATCTATTAAATGACCGTGCAACCCTGAGGAACAGAAATGGGGAAGTGGGTGAAAATATATTCCCCTATATCCTGGATTGGTAACTGGTCGGAGCCTGGAGATGAAGCTGGGAGATGGCTTCCCCTTCACGCCGTGCTGGGTTTATACCTAACAAGGCTCTTTCTCTGCAGAAGGCTGGCGCAAGCATGTTGGTCCCCTCACACTCCCAGTGCTCATTTGCATGCTTTGCGGGCACAGGCATGTGCAAACTGTGCAGCTGCTCAGGTCTGGATAGAAAAGGGGCCCAAAAATGGTCATTTAAAAATTATTACTATCATTATTTCTGGAAAAGGGGGGGCCTATGCTGAAAGTTTGCCCAGGGCTGCCAGGAGTCTAGGTACGGTGCTGTTTGAAGCAAGGCAGAACATATATGCTGAGCCACATTTGTCTCATGAATTTGCCAAGTAGTAAACACTACGTGTTAATTCTCTGGGGGCGGAAGGAGTTTTGAACCCTCTCACAAAACTCAGATGGGAAAGAGTAAGTGGTTACTGACACCCCGCAGCCATCAGTGAGACACAGCAACTTGCCATTAGGGAAAAAAAGAGCAAGGAAGCTGGATGGCACCTGGGAATCAAGCTGTTCCTTAGGCTGATGCCAAACTGCCTTTAAGCTGAAGTCCTTCAGTCACACAACAGAAAGCTAGAAAAAGCTGAGGTGGGAAAGAGCTGACTTTATGCAAGATGACAATGGGTTAAAAACGCAGCTCCGTTCTGATATCTTTTCTCAGCTTCTGCTCAGGCAAAGTTTTCTTGATGTCAGTGTCTGAGTGACAGCTAAGTAAGCCAACTGAGGCCTCGTCTGCCTGAGAGAGCTCCCCTGATTTAACTTAGATAATTTCTAAACCAATTTAGTTAAATCATCACAAAAACACCCTTGTGGTCATGTAAGAAGTCTACATTGCACTTGAGCTTAACCCAGTTTCTACAAATTGGAATAAACCAGGTTTAAAGCAAATGTTGAGTTTCCACAAAGCCTTTCACATTGCTTTATCAATGTGAAATCAAGTTTAAAATCACTTTCTAGGTAAACTCAGGACAGGTTTGGTTTTTCTGTATGTTTTGGGGGGGTTAGTTTGTTTGTTGGGGAGGGGGGGCTGGGGTTGCTTGGGAAAGCCTTCTCCTTTCCTACCATGCCTTTCAGGGTAAGCATCAAGTATTGACCACTGTGAAGGGTTGCTTACTGCATAATGGATACAGGCTTTCAGGACCAAGC